CATTAGTATCCTTGGACTTTCACAACAACCCAGGAATAAAAGAAAGGCTGTATTTAATTTATAATATGGTCGTGTTTGAGTTTAAAGCTGCATTAAGTAACTTCTTCCTCTAAGTGAGAGTCAAAACAAACTCAGGCTGTATCCCCTCCTCTTTCCTCTCCTGTCCTGGTCTGAAACTAAAAGTCTTACAGTATGTGGTCATGACAGCTAGAGTCAGTTGTGGCAGTCAGGTAGTGCAACAGGAATAACCAAATCCAAACCTAATGTATACAGAATATAGAGCCCGGTTTTCAGTGGCATTGCAGCAATACAATGTCCAATAAAGAGGTTTACATTTTAGCAATATGCATACATACGTATGACTAATGTTCTTTGTAGCAGATATATCTGCAGTAATACAAGCAAATTATAGTACAAGGGTGTTAGTACAGCAGGGAGAAAACATTTCTAGAGAATTTTTACTTGATTTATCCAAATTGGTGCTAAACCTTAGTTAATGCAGCTTTAAGGAGAAGATCTGTTAAACATATTAGGTTTATAGAATGTGAAACGGAATATCATCCTCTGTGAAGGTTTTTTGTTTTTCTTTTTTTCACAGTAGGAAAGGAATGAGAGCTTAAAGCGCACAGAACTACTATATCATCATGAAAAAAGAAATGCTGCAAAGAAAATCTGTGACTCATTCATCACAATTTAGTTACTTAGCCACATATTCCACACCTGGGTGCCCAGCTTGCTATTAATGTCAGCTGTTCACCAGTACAATTCAGCGAGACACTGCATAATATTCACTCTGACACACTCTCTTTGCTTTGGAGATTACAGATTCATATTTCAGTTAGGCGTTACAGCTTTGAGACTCTGTGCCTGATAATATTTCTTGTCAGAAGTAAAGGAACTGCTTCTGGAATGGTGTAAGTTTAAAGAGAAAACAATAGATGTGGACTTTTTTTAAAGAACACAGTACAGTGCCAAAACAATGCAACATATTGTTAAAATTAGTCATGTAATGTAATTAATTCATTTTCATTTTTACAAAAGTACAAGAGAGTAGTGTTGAAAAAGATTGTAGGATGTGAGTTTCTTTCAAGCACACAGCTTTTAGAGTTGGACTATCTGTGTGTCTGAGGACAGAGACGCATCAGAACAAATTTATAGTGAGTCTTATATCAGCTTATAAAATTTAAAAAGTTAGCAAGGACTTGCTTGTAATTTATTACAATTATAATTGTAATTGCAATTGCAATTATAAACAGACTACTGGTTTGTACTTTCCCATTGAATTAAATTGGAAAGTGCGTCCAATCCTTTAACTGGTAGTATACCTTCTGTTAAGGATTCAGTCATATGCTTGCAATAGAAAATGTTCTTTGTCTTTTGTACAATTTAATTTTGAAATTGCTGCAGAAATCTACATCATTAGACAGCTTGATATATTAAAAGATTAGATCTAAATCACAAAATGAGGGAAATAATATTCCATATATAACTGATATGGATTAAAATTTACATTCTTGTAGGATACTGAAAATCAATACATTGTTCTGCCTTTAAAATTACTTACTGACCCTATTGTAATGTTCAACATTTAGTGTTAATTGAGGTGCTTAATACTGACATGTGAGCTGGCAGGTGGTAAAAACTGTACCTAAAAAATGTAAGTCACCATACCATCAAGTGAAAAGGGGAGAGTGAAGTGAGATGTGTTCTTGATTCACATACTGTATATATAGTGATCAAAAGCACAGTTTTAATAGAAATCATGTTGTATTTGTCTTCATCAATGTGAAAATGGAGTTAATAAGGCATTTTTCACTCCCCGGGTGTCCTTCTCTTTTTAACTCCTCACCATTCTCAGTGGCCATATTACTAAACGTTTTCTTTGCATTTTTTATATTTGCATTCTTGGCAAGTTTAGAAATTGTATCCCCTGATACATAGTCCTTCCTTTGCTGCAAAAGGCATTCAGAGTAACATCACACACAACAAACACTGCACTAATATCTAATGTATGGTTTCAACCAGGCTCAGACATGCCTTAGCATTTATACAAAATGCCCATCCTCCTTTGCTGAGCTTAAGGAGAGATAAATTGAGCAAATAGCTTGAGGTCTGTACTGTACGTAATGAATGAACAACACTGAGTGCATCTGCATACATATAAGGGATGCCACCATGTCAGCCTTATATTATTATCACATTTATATTCATATCATGCCCCCAAGGGCATGTCTAAGCAGGATTCCACTGTAGGGAGTATGGTAGGGTGTGGTACACGCCTGCAAATCAGCACCTCAAAATAAAAGTGTTAAAACATCTCAAAGAACAAGTGTTAAAGGTGTAAACACCCACCAGCACCAGCGGGAGTAACTGTATTTCATATTAATGGAGCTCAATAAACTGGCTGAAGAGTATCGATTGTCTTGTTGATGAATCTTATAACGATTTTGCATTTATCTCAACAGTATGACATCTGGCACAGTCCAGTTTTAGTGTGACCTCACTAAACTTATTTGAATTATTATCTAGTTTGTTACTACACAGTCTAATTTAAACAAGCAGACACTGTTATCAGCAGTGCTATTACCACGAAATTAGCTCGTATAACAGTATTTAGAGAAGTTAATTCTTGTGCACAGGAATTAATATATTTTACATTTACAATCACACTAGAAGCAATGTCTTTCTTTCCATGTTTATATCTGGATAAGACTGTGCTCTACATGAATACACATTCCTGCCTGTGACTAGTTCAGTCTAGTGGCATTATTAGTATTTTATGTGTGGCATTTAAATACATTAAAATGAATAAATGCTCTCTGTGACACAGGGAAATACATTGGTTTCTCATATCTTTGCCATATGCAGAAGCAGAACTCAGTTCAGAAAAACCACAGCAGGTGATAGCTTAATACCTGAAAATGAATTTTTGGACTATGTTGATTTACAATCATGTAAGCAGAATGTTAAAGTTCACTGAAGTAAAATACAGGTAAAGTACAAGTAACCATCCAAGTTGGATACAAACAATCATAAGAACCTCAAAATTCAAGTTAATCTGAGCAGCACTGAACAGTATGAATCGTTTTAATCTGGCTGCTAAAGTGAAAATAAACAAAAACACAGACCTTAATCTTGAAGCTTTAGTACTATACAATAAAAAATGCTTTTATCTATGCTCTGTTCTTATATAGCGTTAAGATAATTACAGAGCAACTACACACATTTTAAAGGCCTAGAAGCTGCATGGTAGTCCCGCATACAGTAAGTAATTTTAATTTTAGCTGATTCAGTCTCTTCTTGGGAGCATGTACAATAGAGTGCTTGCTTTATAACTCCTTGAGCCTCCTGTTAGCTTTGTTGAAAACTCTCCCTCTTCTTTTTTTGCAAGTCAGTGTAACTCTTTTCCTCACCTTCTGTGTGCAAATCTATGCAAATGCTCCCACAGTAAGCTGCATCCATAGTAAGGAAACTCAAATACACAATGTTTGCATATAGACCCAAAGAGTACAAATTCAATTTCTTTTGCTTTGTCTATTTTCTCCATGCTGCATATTGCTCTTTCCTGCAAATACTGTATGTACATACACAGGAAAATCATACACATTTCTGAAGTACAACCTGCAAACAGAAGCAGAATGCTTCAGACAACTGTGCCTGTGTACAGTTGAAATGTGCAGTATACTCAGCCTTTGTTCTGCAGCTGTGTAGAAATAAACAGGCCCCACCACACCTCCTCACACAGTGAATTTCAAGGCCATGTCTTAATTGAAAAGCTTGAGTGGGCCATTAGTACATTTTGTGTAGGAGGCAGGAAAGAATAATTTGAAATCACATCGTCTGTTCAAGGTAATGACTCGGACGCCTTGACTAATGGCATTTATCTAGCAGTCAAGTGAGAAACAACATTGTTTGGAAATTATAGTGACTTTTCTGTGTTTGTAATGATTTGTCCATCAACTCTCCAAAGTAGGTATATAATAATTATTCCTTGATGTTGGTACCTCTGGACTTCTAAACTGGTGAGTGCACTCTTTGACCCAGTTTTCACTGATCATTACTTGGCCAAATGTCAGGAAAAGTGCAAGTACAAAACAAACAACATTTTGATAGTTAATTTCATAGATAAAATTTCAATTTTTTCTTATTTTTTCTATTTTTAGCTTTAATCGGGTTATAATTTATATATTTAAACTGAACTAGAATCCAAAGAGCAGGCTGATTGTGATAATACAACTTGGAAGCTATGGGCTTGGAGGTAAAACTATGGAAGAAGTGATAGTGATACTAATGCTCATGGAGTCTCTGATCCACCACCTGGAATTTTCCCACACTTGTTACAGAGAAACCCATAAGAAAGATTATTGTAACAAAACAAATCAATAATTAAATGTTAGGCACTCCTCATTATAAATAAAAAAAAAAATATTTAAGAAATGACAAATAAACTAACAAGTTAGCATTCATGAAGACCTCTGTGATTGCTAGTTGTCATCGTTAAAGCTTTGTCTTGCAGGTAAATGTGAACAGTTTGTTGGGAGCACCTGGGCACAGTCTTCTTTGCTAAACCTGACACAGACAAAGTTAGCTCAGTTAGTTGCTCAGGAGTCCACAGATGAACAGTAATACAACTACAGCTTAGATGTAAAGCTGGAGAAATAAAGCGATATCTGTATGCTAACATGACAAAATGAAGTGAGTCGTGGGGGTGGGGTTCATTGGCATTGGATGCAAGCGTTGACACGTGGTGGAGCAGAGAGGACCCGTAGAGAATGGCAGCCCTTTACTATTTCTAGCCTCTCATTGAGATAAGATGGACAGGGGAGTCTCTGCAGCGTATCTTTAGGACAGACCATCTGGAGTCTTCCCACACTCATGTGACCTGGTGAAATTGAACCAGCACAGGACACAACATTGTCTTTTGGGGGTGCGGGGCATTTACAACTGCGCCCTTGCCTTGAAATACAACAAAAAAATACTCTTCCATTGAAGTAAGGAATACAGAAAATACAGAAATAACTGTGATGGCTCACCTAACAAACAAAGAGCACATACATTAGACATCAGAAATGTAACATTTCTCCAGCTAGCCTAAAACATAATGGATGCAGAGTTAAAATAAAACCTAACTGTACAGAAAATCTGTCTGCAGTAATCGATTCACGACACACTCCGCAAATCCCACGGGTCACACGCTGGGACTAAGATCTGTAAACATCCAACATATGCATCGATATAAACAAATTAAACTTACAGAATTACGTATACACAACACTCTTAGGCGACTGTCAACTTACATGCGGTTATTACAAACTAGCGGTGTACAAGATTTACCTTAAACAACCAGTACAGATCTTCCGCTGAAATACCGCTTTGGTCAGATGAACACACATGGCTTTTTAGTTTCCCAGAATCCACTGGATTGATACCCAGTATCCTCTTCATTCCCAGGGTTACTTCTCTAAAAGCGGTAGCACCCCTTTTTCCATACATAAGTCTAACAGGTGCATTTCCACCCGGCTACACTCACTTGTTACATTCTCATCTAATAACAGTTTGGTTGATTTATGTGAGTGGTTAACAGAGAAACTCATAAAATAGATAGGCACAAAATCTAGTCAATCAAAATTTAGGCACTTGTACACTGTCTTAGAGAGGCTAGCTTGCCATTTGGCCCCAAAATACACAAGAAATTGACTGATCTTTTCTCAGCAATGAAACTTCATACACAGTATCTTACAGTAAATTAAATGATGAAAGCTTTTGTGTACTTAGAGCAGCCTCCATGTCCCGTTTTAAACCATGAAGCTAACCATGCCCCATGTCTGGCTTTTACAGTGGATTAAACATCAGTCGTCGAGGCAGTGGGCTCCCAAGCCAAGGTTATACTGTATATTCACAAGCTGCCCACGTCCCTGAGGCCAAGGATGGTCAGGAAACCAAATCTTATCAAGGTCTATTTCTGTGCAGGCCTTCAGATACTACTGCGTGTCATCAGCCTCTCAGGATGACTAACAATGGTTGCAGTTTGACTTTACTAACATTGACTTTTCTTGTTTTTATGTGCAAGGTGAATTTCCAAAGCAAGATATGTGATTTAGACCTCAGATGAATACATATGTAATGTGGTCTTATAGGCAAACAGACTACATAGTGATCACTAAGAAGTGCTGCAGTGTGTGCAATTAATGACCAGCTTTTTTGTATGGCCCAACAATATATCATCAAGATATCCAGTATTTGTTTTAGTTACTTTTTTCTTTCTTCCCTTGTGTCCTCCAGAGTATCACTATGACTTTCACATTTAGTTGGGTCCCTGTAATATTTTGACAGTGTACATGAACATATTTTTTTCTTACAGAATGTGGTTTTCTTGGATGAAATAAGTGATATTTAAAAATACATCTCTATTTTTTAAGAAACTGATATTTTCTTGACAGAGAATTTTCTTTTTTGAGTCATTTCTAAGATGATTTTGGGGGTGTTTTTGTTACAAACAACATTGTATTTTTTTAAGAATTGCAGTTTTTTGAGCAGATGCATCCAGAGTTTTAACAAGACTACACACCAAACTTGGGATTTAAATCCTGTTAGTTAATTTTTTGTGAAGACCTCTGTAGTAGGCTAATGGCCATGTTGTTATTGCCGATGCTTTACCTTGTAGCTGTGAGCAGAGGTCATCAGTCCCTGTTGGGAATGCATATGCACAGTGTTTGCTAAGCATGTCACAGACAAAGCTAGCTGCTCAGTTAGTTGCTCAGGAGACCACAGCTGTACACTAGCTGCACAGTCCGAAGTGGTCCTTTACTAAAAAAAAGCAATTTTTTCTGTATAATGAGTGATAAAACCATAGTTTGCATCACAACAAGTACATTAATCATCTAAATATAAATAGCAGACATTCATTTCCTCTAAATAAACCATTTCCTTTGAAGAATTAATTTCCTGTCACTTAGTAACACTACAGATGGTGTGGACTGACACAGAGATATCATATATGCATGAGGAGTCAATGTACTGTACCATATGTGTGATAGACTGCATGACTGTGCTGCTATGATATCTCTGCCTGTGTTTGTCTCTGTGTGTGCATACGGATGACTGAATACAGTACATGTAGTGTGGATGTACTGCAGGAGACAGGTGTGTGACTCCAAGAAGGTAAGGTGTGGGGGGCAAGCATGCAAATACAGCAGTTTGATGCTGTATCTGTGTGTTTCCATGTGCATCAACATTAAGCAAAAATGCTTCTGTTAACTTTTTAAGTCAAACTTTTTTGACTGGCTGTACATAATTGATTTATATGCACATGCCAAAGGGATTAAAAACAGGTGAGAAATTCACTCTCATCTATAAGATATACTGAATGTGGCTTTGATTAGTTGCACAGTAAATATACACAGCCTTTAGACAAGTCAGTCCTGCTTCCCCTTAGACAACCCAAGGTTAAGCTGGAAAAACTGATTGTGTAAAACCTTTTTCTGTACAGTAATTGGTGTAAACAATCCTGATAAGGCTAAAAGCCATAAAGAGGCATTTATGTCCTGGTAAAAGGTATCTGTAGTTGTAATTTATGTATTTTTAATATGAAATCTTTACAGCATTTTGCTTCATTGGGTGACTACATTTGTGCATTTACTGCTCTACACAGAAGCTGTACTGCAGGAGAATTTAAATAGTGCTTTATGACTGTGATTTTGCAGATCTTTCAGTGAGTGATATGGACCGGGTGTAAAATAAAAAGGAAAAATCTATTTAATTGGCATAGCAAAAATGACTGTGTTAGTTTCATCCTGACATGTGACAGTTTTATCCAAATAAAAGGAAATGTCTTTGTTGGTTTGGATGTGTACAACCCTCTTCAACAAACAACATTCTTGGTATTCCCGATGTTACCTTAGTAATTAGAAACATAAAAAAGGAAAATTATTTTGTGATTTAGACAAATAAATAATTAAAATCTCTTTCCACTTGATGAAATTTACACCTATACTGTATTTCTCTGAAACCTTTTTTCTCATGCACCTGTTCCCCATCTATCCAGTGTGTTGCCTTCCAGTCAAGGTCTTTCAAGGATTTCTTAAGGATAAGCAATAGATTTGGGGATGTTAAATATGTCAATACCAATTTTCACTTCCTGGCCCGCTTTCTTTCTCTTTCACAAATCTAAATCTCGATATTTATACTCAACAAGATGGCTGGGAGCTAGATCCAGGTCTCTGACAGGATTCAGATTTATTATGGCAGTTGCTACAAAGCCAGTTTCTTTCCACTAACAGCATCCAAGTGTAAATTCCATGTGCCTTCACAGGAATACATCACTCCAGAACAGATTTATAAGTTCTTCCATAGCTTCACATTGTGACCTGCATCTACACTATCCAAACTCATGCAAGAAACTGATGGGAGGCATCTCTTACTCTAAATGAAGCACAGAATTAAACAAAGGGGGTACCAGTGTCAACCCTGCCAACAATACCTCATTGTGAAAAATCTGATTTTTGTGTCTCTAAGGCAGCAAGACTAACCGTAACACAATCTCCTGGCAAGTGGAAGGGAAGTAGGGACTGAGAAGGAGCTGAATAGTGAGTGTGGGGTAAAAAACAAAAAAAGTGGAAAACATAAGGAAGGTGGGCTGGGAAAGAGCATTAAGGAGGAAGACTATCAGTGACCCCACCCCTAGACACCACCATCACTGTGTTTGCTGGTTGCCTCTGGAGAGGTGAGGTGCCTGGACAGTGCATTGCCAGGGAAAAGGAAAGATTAACATTCCTTGGAAGCTACAGTATGAAGAGTTATAGTATGAGAAAGGTGGTTCCAGGGGAGTTTATTAACAAGATGTAAAGAAGAGGAGGGAAAAAAAATCTGATTTACTTAACACAGCAATATGAAAATAAGTGTGAGTGTAGCAAGTGGCCTTTTCCACTTGTTACACAGGTGTATTAAAGAAAATGCTCTTTTTCTTCTTAAATGGTGACTTTACTGAGTAGTTGCCTCTGTTATTTACAAATTCATCATTTTTCTGATCAGTACACCATGAAAAGAAGCGTGTGAATACTTTCCCTGCTCAAAAAAAAAAATGCAGCTGCTGAATTTTCACTCCCTAGCTTTCCTCAGCTGGCCCCATGGAAAACTGAAACAGTTGTGAGTGGGTGAGCAGTGTCTGAGGGGAGGGAGCGTGCTTGGTTAAGGCTGTCAGTGAGTGAAATATGGGTGTTTAAACGGGAAAGTGTTGTGACATACAATACCGTACTAAGTAAGCCAGAATTTGTGTGTATGTGTGTGTCTAATGATATAGGACAGCCACTGTCTTGTCAGTTTGCCCGCCCACTATTTCCTATGAATTTGTCTGTGCTCCCAGGACAAAAGGCTCCTTCAGAGACTGCTTGCAGGCCAGTGGGGCAGTGGGGGCTTTGTCTTTTTTGTCGGAGAGACAAACCAGTGTGCACACAAACATATCTGTGTGTGTGTTGAGTGTCCATTTAAAAAATAACAAAAAAATGATCACCCAAGTACATGGGTTTGTTAATGTGAGTGTGCATGCATTTTGGTTGCTCTTCAGTTCTTCAAAGGCTTTTGAGGTTTAAGACTGGTTTAGGTTTAGGCTGAGTTAAAGGCTGGAATCAGGCATGTACCAGCAGTGACGGTTAGGGCTACAGTAGGTGTAGGAGGATGACAATGTACAGTAATGCAATTAAAGATCCTCACAAGCATAGGTTTTGAGAGTGCACACCTCCCTGAATTATGTCTGACTAAATGTGTGTGCATGCATGTCCTGCTTTTATTGCTTTTTCTGTTTCTGCACATTTTTGTTGGTGTATTACTGTAAGTCTGATAACTGTGTGTGTGTGTGTGTGTGTGTGTGTGTGTCTAGGTTCCAGTATGTGGGTGTGGAGATGACAAAGGCTGTCAGAGTGTAAAGCACTGTCAGGGTGGTGTGGGTCTGTTCTTAGATGCTTCCCACTGTGACCTCGGACCATCATAAATCTCGTAATTCCCTCATTCCAATGTCAAACAGAGCAGTGCTTCAATATGCTGGAAATTCCCTCTTTCTCAGCTGCTTGACAACAATTTCTACAGTAGCTCCACTACCGGAGCTTGTCCTCTGTGATGCTGTCACAATCTGACAGGAGTCCATTGTCGTATATGACATTTACCGCCCACTATCGGTGAACTACTGGTTTGCAGCCACATTGATAGAGGTTATTAGTAACTTATTAGCAGATTAGCTCTGTTATGTTATCTTTTGCACATATGGCAGCACATTAGATGACAAAGCTTTTGTGATAAGATTAGACAAAGCTTATCGGCTTAAATAAAAAAAAGACATATGAGTGCATTGTTGAGTTGTAATGCAGCAGTGGCTGCTGGCCAGTAACTTGCAGTTAGGCCACGTTCAGACTGATTTTATCCCCTTTTAAT